TCCTCTGGCCCCGCTCCAGCAGCTCCATGTCGTTCTTGTGCTGGGGACTCCAGAGCTGAACACCGTATTCCAGGTGGGGTCTCACGAGAGCTGAGTAGAGGGGCAGAATCACCTCCCTCAACCTGCTGGCCACGCTTCTTTGGATGCAGCCCAGGATACAGTTGGCTTTCTGGGCTGCCAGCACACATTGCCGGCTCACGTTGAGCTTCTCATCCACCAGCACTCCCAAGTCCTTTTCCTCAGGGCTGCTCTCAAACCATTCTCTGCCCAGCCTGTACTTGTGCTTGCTTAATTCAAGTACAAGCCTGTACTTGAATTAAGATAGGGTGCTTGAACAGTGGGATAGATCACTGGGAGAAATGAGATGTGTGGATATCAAATAGAGGTAGTTTGCTTTCCCCAGCTGAGTGTACAAGTCAAGTGAAATACTGGGTATTATTCTTGATTCAGACCACAGCAGTTTTAGGAGTGGAGTTGTATTCCGTTGTGTTTTTATTAAACTTGGAACTTATTTGGAAAACTTGAAGTTATTCGAGAACAATCTTATGTCCTCGTTTCACAGTATACTTTAATCAGTGCTATTACTCCTAACTCCCTGAATAAAATCCACTCTGGTAGTGGGACTGTAACTTTTTAAAGCAGTCCTTTTGTTACCATTCAGTATCTTTCACCTTCTGTTGCCTGTTCCCCAAATGGCATACCCCTTGTCTATTTAACACATAATAGAAGTGATACTCTGCAGCTGATTTTTACCCATGGAAGAATGGTGGCTTCACCATTTACAAGAAGTGGAAAGAATTTTAACAACATTTTTTTAGTTTTAAGATGCTTTCTCTGGTAGTCTGACGGTACTGCAACTGTACAATTGTAATGAGCTTTCTGTCCTCTCTGAAGTTATTCATGGCAGCACTGATTGAGAGTATACAGATATTTCTGTAATATCTTATGTGTTTCATATGACATGTACAGTATGTAGCCTGTTGTTAATCAGAGTATTATTACTGTTTAGATTTGTGATCATTCGTCGGGAGAAGCTTATCCAGGAACATATGGCAAAGCTTAGAACTAATGTCCGACCTATAGATGTGGATGCAGAATGTCTGCGTTGGACACCTGTTATAGTTTCCAACTCAGTTGTCTCTGAAGATGAAGAGGAGGAGACAGAGGATGGGGAAAATGAAGAGCAACAACAGCAGAATGAAAAGGATCCAGAGGCCAGTGTAAGAGTGAATCCGTTACTTCTGCGTGGCATATCGTTTACACTCAGTGCTTTTTCAGGCAGTGCTAACGGAATTTCAAATGCCAAGCTTGGGCGTTTGGTGTAATTGTAAAAAGCAATGTAGTCGTGATTAGTTTATGTATCTTTATAGTTTCAAATTAGAAGCTAAACATAGGGAAAACATTGAGGCATAGTCTAGAGAAGGGTTAAAGACTACGTCTGAAAAGAGTAAAAAGGCTCTTTCTACCTTTAATTATTTTTCCAGTATGTGTGTGTATGGGAGGGCAAACCCCACAAACAAAAACCAAACAACAAACCTGCCTCCTACTCTCAAGCAACCTGGTCTCTTATCAAATTATTGAAATAGGTTTAGGTTTGAAGAACTCGGTATTTCTGTTAAGTGACAAGTAACATAAATGGAAATGAACCAACAAAAACTTTTAACGTATGTCGCCAAAGGTTTTTGCTGTGTACTTTTGCAAAACCACTACTAGCTTTAGAGTTAGTGCCCACAGAGCAGTGAAGGTTTCTGAAATACAGGCTGCTGTCCTTGCAGGTTTTCACTCTCACATCAGGTGATAAACACTGACTGGAATACTAAGAGGCAAATTATGCGCTGTTACTGCATTTACATTAAACTAATTGTACAATTTAATGGAAAAATAGCTTGAATTTTGTCTCACTTTTTTCTTGAAAATTATACAAATACCGTGTTTGAATGTAGCAAGATGATGTTTTCATTCCAGCAGGCCACTGGATGGCTGCTGCTGACTGAAGTCACTTGTCAGGAAGTTAATTGAGGTATAGATCACCTGGGAGGAAAGGAGTAGCAGTTAGCACTGTTAGAATCACATGAAGGTCAATTCTTTTGTTCTTCTCAGATTCTTGTTAAACTTTTCTGACTTCTTGCTCAAAAGCTTTTGTGGAATCAAATTCAGGATAGACATGCATGCTTAAATAGGAAGTGTGAAATCTATTTATTTTTATTTAAATCAGATGGTAAAATCTGTGTCATGGGAAAAGAAAGAGCAAGAGCCATACTCACCTCCAGAGAGTGAAAAAAAGCCAGACATTGTTGCTCCAGCCAATTCTGCACGGCCAAACAAGCACATTTTTCCCCTGGATAGTCTTCCTGCAAACAGTCAGCCATCACGAAGAGGTCGATGGAACCGCAAGGGCAAAAAACTTCGGGAGCCCTTTTGTGAGAAGGAGTCGATACTGGCCATCGAGGACAAAACAGCAGTTCCCAGTGGGCGATGCAGTGAATGTGAGGAGAAATCAGCCGCCTCCCGAGGCCGGTGCAGTGACTGTGAGGAGAAGTCAGCAGCCTTGCAAGGAAGATGCGGTGAATGTGAGGAGAAGTCTCCAGCCTCAAGAGGCCGGTATGCTGAAGATGAGGAAAAATCTGCCGTTCCCCAGGGACAGTATGGCAAAGGTGAAAAATGTGCAATTCCCCGTCGGCGGTACAGCGAAGGTATGGAAAAGTGGAGAGGACAGTTGAAAAAGAACACAGAGCCACTGAAGTGTAGATTCCCAGAGGACTGCGACCGATTGCCTCGCCGCTACAGTGATAGCGATAGGGCACTTCTGAGGTGTTTTAGTGAGAGTAGTGAAGAGGAAGATGATGAGCCGCTGAGTCCTCGATCAAGCTCTCCACCTGTTCTCACCAAGCCAACATTAAAACGAAAGGTGTGTGCCTTACTTCTTGTTGTCTCTGACTATATCATGCAGCCTGTTTTGCCAGTATGTTGGTGCTTTCTGAAGGATTCTGCAATTCATGAGGTTTGTATTAAGCATAGCAGGTAGCATCTGCTCAGGGTTCCAGAACTCTGTCTGACAGGTACTTTCTGCTACCTTTTTGTAGTGGTGGTTTTTGTTGAATCAAAGATAGTAGTTGTTTTTTTTCATTCTAACTTCTGCTTGTGCTTCTTATTTTTCCACCTTGGTTATTAAAGTTTTACTCAGTCATGCAAAATAGAAACAGAGATGGTCCTACTTTTAAAAGAAGCTTGCAAAACACAAATCCTATCTAAAGAGCTAAAATTACAGCATAAAGTCTTTGGAATGATTTACCACAGAGACGTGAATTCTATCAATGTGACCAAGAAAATCCTGTCTTTGTGGCATGCTGCGCTAAAAAGTCCTCTTCTATATAATCTTTGCAGCTTAGAATAAACTATTCACATCCATGGTTTATTGTCTCTGAACTTTCAGGTCTTATGGATGGGCTGTTAGCTTCAGCTGTTTAAATGGTTTATACTGTTACACAAATGTCAGTCTAGCAATCTTCATGGAAGTCAGTCGTCTTGCATTGTATTTTAAATCTGTCTAACTGAAGGCAGGTGCCGATCAGTATTTCTAGTGAAGTCTTGATTTGAGAAGGGCCCCCTTGTCCTGCTTAGGCTGTTGAACTCTGCTGTCCATGTTTTGCATTTATCAGTGTTTTATCTCTACTGCATCTGATAAAATGTCTTGTCTTCTCCCACCTTCCACTTTCAGAAACCAATTCTTCACCGGAAGAGGCGAGTCCGCAAGCGTAAGCACCACAACAGCAGTGTTGTCACTGAAACAATCTCAGAGACTACGGAAGTGCTGGATGAACCATTTGAGGACTCAGACTCTGAGCGACCAATGCCACGATTAGAGCCTACATTTGAGATTGAAGAGGAGGAAGAGGAGGAGGAGGACGAAGAGGAGGAGAATGAACTTTTGCCCAGTGGATACTTTCGGCACTTAGCCCCACCAGACACACTCAGGCATAGACCCTCTTCTAAGAGGAAGTCCAAAGATGAGGAGGAGTCTGATGACAATAATGGTATGTTGGGTGGTATGCTGTTAAAAGTTTGATACAGATAGTGTGTCAGTGATACTAGCTCATGATGGAACAAGCTGCTTACCTTGTCTTGTAACTTCTAGCCAAAATGTAGGATTAGGCATAAATTACCAGTCAAACCAGCCTCAAACATTCCCAAGTCTTATGGAAATGTGATGCATGCTTTAAAATATCTTATTAGCAATGACCTGATCACAAGGTATCCTTTTGATTCAGCTTTCCTAGTGGAATTAGTATCTGTGATTGCAGAAAAACCTATGCAGCAGAGTCATTTATAGAAATAAAACAGAAATGGAGAGCCCTCAGTTTTCCATAACAAAGAGAAATAACAAGTCCTCTTTTGAGATCCTGTTCTTCACATTGCACATTCTACCTCTCAGCTTCTCGTATCTCCTTAAAGTTCTCTGAACCTTCAGTTCATGAAATAAAATTATTTGGTTGGAACTGATTACTTAGAGTGCACTGACAGTTCAAAAGAAACATCTGTCATTCAGATGCTCCATTAGTAATCTTCAGTGTGGCTGTTGTATGTTCTGTTCTCCTGATGGTCTACATTGTGCAAGGTAGTCAGCCAAATAAAAATGAAGAACTGGGGGTGAAAGAGAAATACGGTGCTGTTATCCCACAAGAAAAAAAACGTTACTGGAATGAACTCATTAATTTATGTCTTTCAGCTAGTCTGTGGTTAGCAAAGGAGAATTTTTCTTTAAAAGTACTTAAATACTGAAAGCATCAATACGATTATAGCCATGTGTTCTATCCATTTAGCATCGGTTACCTTTAAATCCTTACAGCGGCATGTAAGTGTGCAAGTTCAGTGCAAACATGTTGATGCAGCATGAAGTTTGCTTAGAGGGAATACATGCAGTCAGCTTATACCATTGGGTTTTTGATTCTGTTGTGATCAGATTACTTATGAAATACATTTTTACGGTACTCCAGCACCATTAATAAGACTAGAGAGTTGGGAGACGATCTGTTAGAGAAGTGGTTTTCAGTCTCTCTCATTTGCACTCTTGTGAATATTTTCTGTTGGAGATGCAGATCTCTTTAGAGATTCCACACACATACATTGTTTTATAAACTACATCAGTGATTTTTAACCATCTTTTGCAGACTACAAATAGTCCATAGTGTGCCCAGAGATCAAAAATGGTGTTTGGAAAGCCAGTTTTAACTCATACCTGTTATATACTACAGTGATAAATTTTTTGCTCACCTACTTGATAAATACTTTACTTTCTTACTCCCCACTTGCGATTTAGTGCTTTCTGTTCCCTTGTCACTTCTGTTGCTTTTTTTTTTTTTGCTCCTGAACTTCTGCAAATTTGTCAGAACCTCTGAATAAAAGTAGGTAGTAATCAGACTATTTTAGGGTATTGCTGCTGACATCAAACAGTATCTGTTGGCTGCGTATGCCTTTAATGCAGGTTCCTTTGCATATACATAGTAAAACTGTAATGATCTTAGAGAAAATACAATGTACTTTCTATTACCTAAAAATGTTAGCCCACGGGGATAATCAGTCATGATAAACAGCTGGCCTTTTTTGATAAAAAATTAAGCTGGGTGGAGGGGGCAGCACTGCCTTATGACAATTCAGAAATACAATATTGCAGTCATTAATATTTGGTTCAGATTTAGAGTATTGTAATCATAACTGTGAGTGAGGAATGTTTATAGGAAGCTTAGATTTTTTGGATTTTTTTTCTCTTTTTTTTTTTTAAACTTTCTGACTAAGGGTGATTTGGGTTAGATTTTCCCCTGAAAACTTAATCTCTAGCTGAGGCAATGCATTGAAAGCATTTTATGATTTCCCTGAAATGTAACAATGCAGTCTCTTAAATTTGGTGTCTGATGAGAATTTGAATTGGTTCTGATTGCCGTCAGGGCTACAGTGAGAATGGATAGTGTGATGTGGTGATTTGAGGCCAGTATTTAATAAGAGTTAGGCATTCTGGAATACAGAATGTGTTCGGTGGTGTAGAAAACAAATAAAGTTTGTGTCTCTATATTCTACCAATTCTGTGCAACTTGGTTACTGTTGCATGGGGGAATGTGGAGTGCTGTAATAGGCTGGGCTGTATTATTTTGCTTTTCCTAGTTCTACCTGTACTTTTTACTGTGAATGTGAATACTGTAAACACTGTAAGGATCTTCTGTTCAAGCTTGCATACATGGTGACATTAACTAAGTGCAACTGAGTACGTACGTATGTTTCTCAGTATCCTAAAACATGATGCACGTGAAATTGAGTGGTCATCAAATCCATATTCTTATGCGAAGACAGTGTCAAATCATAGAAAAAAAAAAAAGAAAAAAAACCACAGAATCACAATCCCTTGAGGTTGGCGAGGACCTTTGGAGGTCATCTTGTCCAGCCCCACTGCTTAAGCAAGGCCACCAAGATGAAGTTGCTTAGGATCATGCCCACATAGGTTTTGAATATCTCCAAGGAGGGAGAGCCCACAACCTCTCTGGGCAGCCTGTTCTAGTGCTCAGTCACAGTAAAGACGTGTTTCCTGATGCTCAGATGGAGCCTCCTGTGTTGCAGTTTGTGCCCATTACTTCTGGTCCTGGCATTGGGCACCACTGAAAAGAGCCTGGCTCCATCTTCTTTACACCCTCCCTTAAGATATTTGTACACATTTTATCAATCCCCACCCTGAGCCTTCCCTTCTCTAGTCCCAGCTCTCTCAGCCTTTCCTCCTCAGAGAGATATTCCAATCTCTTAGGCACCTAAGTGGCCCTTTGCTCAGCTCTCTCAAGTAGCTCTATGTCTGTCTCGTACTGGGGAGACCAGACTGGACACCTTTAATATTATATTATTATAAAGGGAGCCTGTCAACATAAGATCATTTACTTTTTTATTTCTAAAAATATTAGATACCTGACAGTACAGATAAAAGCAAAGGGTTTTTACTTAAGAGGTGCTAAATCTAATCCGCTATAGTAGATAGGAAATGTGGAAGAAGGAGAAGAGAAAAAGCAATTTTAAATTTTTTTTTAAAGAGGTGGATTTTTTTCTTTTCTTTTGAAGGGTTTAAGTATTACTACTTTAAGAAATACTGTGACAGTAGTGTTTCCTTCTTCCTGCCTAATGATATTCTGACTGTGGTAGATCATTTCTTTCCTTTATTCACATTCCAAATACTTGTTTTATGGATGATTTCAAGGAGTTGTTCAATTTTTAATTTGGTATTTGTTTTAAATTCATTTTTAATACCCAGAATTTTTTCAGAATGCTTCTCATCAGAAATATTTAGAGTAAATAGAGCAAAGGGCAGGAGTAACTCAGCTGGCCTATGATTAGGTTTTAAAAAGCATTTGTGAACTACTAGGAGCACATTATTTACTTTTACCTTTGTTGCATAACTGTGGACTTAAAACAGCTCTTCTTGGGAAATTCATAGTGTGGAATCGATAACATTTTTTAAGATGGTAGAAAGGGCAGAAATGTGAATAAATGTATTCTGAATATTTGGGGGGAAATTGATCTTATATTCATATAGTGGGATGACCAACTTAATTACATTCCTTTCTGGCTGTATAAGCTCTGAACCTATTCTAGTGTTTGGAAAGTCACTGAAATGCAAAACTTGCTTCATCAAATAAGAGTCAGATGAGAAAGAAATTCAGCTTCCTTTTAATGATTTATCAGATTTAAAAAAAAAAAAAATCTAGCCAAATTCAATCATCTGTGTATTTCTGTTGGCATTTAAAAGCATAAGTCATGAGAAAAGTGGAAATATTTCCTTTCTTCAGCAGATGCACAAAATACAGATCTAAATGGAAATGTGCTTTTATTGCAAATTTATGCCTTCCCCTACACTGGAACATGTTCACTTATGAACATATTGTACAATTAAAATTTGTAAAGCATGGTGAGTCTTTCCAGGACTTTATGGTATAGCCTAGTGCAGTGTTTAATTTGAATTGTATTTTAAAGGCTCAGAGCTCTGACCATGCAAAATCTTGAAAGCATTGGTGTTCTTTGAAAATGTAATGTGCAGTGTGATTGCTAATGAGCAGACTTTGATCCTCCTTGTTACCCTTCACAATAAATCTCTAAACTAGTATTGATACATAAAGTTGGTAAACATGATGGGAATGCTTGGGAAAGCTTCCATGAATGCTCAGATCAAACAAAAATGCTTGAACAGTGTTTTTAATTTGTGTTTTCAGGTAACCCAACTTTGAAACCATTATCTATGCTGAGAAAATGTGAAGCAAAGGATTCTTCACTTGAGCCAGATACTTCTACACCCATGAAAAAGAAGAAGGGATGGCCAAAAGGGAAAAGCCGAAAACCAGTCCACTGGAAGAAAAGACCTGGTCGAAAACCAGGTTTCAAACTGAACCGAGAAAAGGTGACACCATCAGTTCAGGATGAAGAAGTTGATGCAGCGGTAGCTAATTCAAAACCGGGGCGTAAGCCCAAAATTTCAGATAAAGAAGAAAGTGTCGAGCAGAAAGAAGCACTGCCTCTTATTGAGGAAAGGAAAGAGAAAGATGTGAATATGGAAGCAGAAGAGGTAGGAGAGGGAGAAGAGGAAGATATAGCCAGCAGTGAAGTAAGAGCAGTTTCTCCTGTGGACAGCAACAGCAGTCCAGTGCCAGAAGTGAAAGAGCCTGAGATAGAAGAGGAGGTAGAGGAGAAGCCACGGGTTCTAGAAGAGCAAAGGCATTCAGAAGAAGAACAGCAAGAACTAGATGAAACTGAGCATGACCATGAGGAAGAAGAGGAAGTTGCAGTAGTGACAAATCAAAATGAAGATCATGATGCTGATGACGAAGATGATGGTCATCTGGAGTCTGTGAAGAAAAAGGAATTGGAGGAACAGCCTGTTAGAGAAGGGGTGAAGGAGGAGCCTCAGGTGCAAGAGTGTTTTTTAGAAACAAGTATACCCAGCAGTAGAGAAGATGCAAAAGAAAAAGATGAAGCAGAGGCAGATTCTGAGGAAGAGCAGGCTTCCCATGAGACATCGGTGGGCTCAGAGCACGTCCCTGGGTCTGAAGATGATCACGAAGAAGAGCAAAATAATAAAGAAGGGTTAATTGAATTAAAGGAAGAGGAAGAGATTCCTCATAGTGAACTAGATCTTGAAACTGTTCAAGCAGTCCAGTCCTTGACACAGGAGGAAAGCAATGAGCATGATGTAGCTTACCAGGACTGTGAAGAAACTCTAGCAGCTTGTCAGACTTTGCAGAGTTACACTCAGACTGAGGAGGATCCTCAGATATCAATGGTTGAAGATTGCCAGGCCTCAGAACATAACAGTCCGATATCCTCTGTTCAGTCCCACCCCAGCCAGTCTGTACGGTCAGTCAGCAGCCCAAACGTGCCTGCTCTGGAGAGCGGTTACACCCAGATAAGTCCTGAACAAGGATCCCTGTCCGCACCCTCTATGCAGAACATGGAGACCAGCCCCATGATGGATGTGCCTTCAGTATCGGACCACTCTCAGCAGGTGGTGGATAGTGGCTTCAGTGACCTTGGCAGCATTGAGAGCACTACAGAGAATTATGAAAACCCCAGCAGCTATGATTCCACTATGGGAGGCAGCATTTGTGGAAATAACTCTTCCCAGAGCAGCTGTTCATATGGAGGACTGTCCTCTTCCAGCAGCCTCACTCAGAACAGTTGTGTTGTCACTCAGCAAATGGCAAACATTGGCAGCAGTTGCAGCCTGATGCAGCAAAACACTGTCCAGCCTGCAGCAAACTGCAATATCAAGTCACCTCAGAGCTGTGTAGTAGAAAGGCCTCCAAGTAACCAGCAACCAACAACACAGCCACAACAGCAACAGCCTCAGTCACAGCAGCCACAGCCCCCACCTCCACCCCAGCAGCAGCCTCCACTGTCTCAGTGTAGCATGAACAACAGCTTCACCCCAGCACCTATGATCATGGAAATACCTGAATCAGGAAGCACTGGTAACATAAGTATCTATGAGAGGATTCCAGGGGATTTTGGTGCTGGGAGTTATTCACAACCATCAGCCACGTTCAGTTTAGCCAAGTTGCAGCAGCTGACAAACACCATTATGGACCCTCATGCCATGCCTTATAGCCATTCTCCTGCTGTGACGTCCTATGCAACCAGCGTTTCTCTGTCCAACACAGGACTGGCACAGTTGGCTCCCTCCCACCCGTTAGCAGGCACACCACAAGCACAAGCCACTATGACACCCCCACCAAACCTGGCGTCCACCACCATGAACCTCACGTCACCTCTGCTTCAGTGTAATATGTCTGCTACCAATATTGGTATTCCACATACGCAGAGGCTGCAGGGGCAGATGCCAGTCAAGGGGCACATTTCCATTCGCTCTAAATCAGCACCGCTGCCCTCTGCAACTGCACACCAGCAGCAGCTCTATGGCCGCAGCCCACCCGCAGTTGCCATGCAGGCTGGTCCTCGCACGTTAGCTGTTCAACGGGGCATGAACATGGGAGTCAACCTAATGCCAACCACCCCGTACAATGTTAATTCCATGAATATGAACACCCTGAATGCCATGAACAGCTACAGAATGACACAGCCTATGATGAACAGCAGTTACCATAGTAACCCTGCATACATGAACCAGACAGCACAGTATCCTATGCAGATGCAGATGGGAATGATGGGGAGCCAGGCCTATACCCAGCAGCCTATGCAGCCAAATCCTCATGGAAACATGATGTACACTGGCCCCTCCCATCACAGCTACATGAATGCTGCTGGGGTGCCCAAGCAGTCTCTCAATGGACCATACATGAGAAGATGAGCAAGATGAACTTGCATCCTAAAAACTGAAATATATATAAATAAAGGAACCTTTTATACTGACGAGCCAGAGAAAATGGACCTTTTTTCAGTTAAAATATTGCTGTAGATTTAGAGGGATTTTCTTTGGTTTATTTTATTTTTTAGGAAGCCTGTTCTTTATTTTTTGGATTCTTTTTGTTTGTTTGTTTTGCGTTCTTGTTTTCTTCACAATCCTGAAACATTTTACAGCTAAAATCATTTACAGATGTTTTTTAGCAGGGAAAACATGCACAAAATCTTTTCATAATTTAAAAAGAGCCTTACTTTGCTGACAATGTGGACAGAATATGTGTAACAGTGAAGTCATCTTTCTAAATTTTTTTTTAAATGTATGTCCTTCTCCCTCCCCTGTGCCCCTCTGTATGCAGTTTCTAGTGCTGCAGTCATGTAAAATGGTGGACATGTCAAAGAATAACAACCCTTCCCTCAAAACCCCACCTAGCATTTCCTAATTCTAGCAGGAGGCACTTACTGGGAGACTTGGAAGGGGACACAGAGGATAAATGAAGCTCTTTATTTCTGCAAGTCAGGAAAAATTTTTAATCTTTAATTTTTCCCTGACTCCCTCGCCCTCGGTAAAATTTGGCGTTACGTGTAAACAATAAGCTATTCACAATGGTGTGTTTGTAGATGAGTTAATTGAAATTGTATGTTTCATGCTGAAAATATAATGTAACTTTAAAGTGATCCCATTCACCACCCAGACATGCATGTGCACACACGTGTGCATGCATGCACACATGTTCTGTCACTGTGAACTACTGGAAGCATCTCAAGAGAGAACTGTTTGTATCATGTATAGAGTCATGAGGAGAATAGGGTGGTTAATGGTCTGTTAGGACAAGAACATGGTTGCAGGCTCTTCTGGTGAACTGCAAGTCAGCCACAACTCTGAGATCCCAGACTGCTTTAGTACGTGCTTTGAAATGCTGAAGGTCTTGGTTCTGAGCCTTTGAGTCAGGCTGAGCTCAAAAGCAGCTCTTTCCAGTGGTCTGCCTCTTAATCTCTTTCCTTAGGTAATCTTGGAAGATAAAGCATACATTTTGAGGGACTTGACGAGAACCCTGTGGAGTCCTTGTCACTCTTCCATTCCTGATATGGGGTAGGAAGTTGCTGAATGTGCCATTCTCTGGGGGAGTCAGTGATGTTTTCCCTGATTCTTCAGCTATGTTTGAGACCTGTTTTATAGGGATAGCCACACTTTCGATCTAGTGTGGGAAAAGAAGGGAATTGGCCTACTTTACAGGAGTGAAACAGTCCCAACACTATAGTAGGATGCAGGCAACAGGATTTTGCTGTTATTGCCACATAATCCAATTTACATTCTTTTTGGCTACACGGATGGCATGTCACCCAATACAAAAAGGGACACCCTTTAATGTAAAGTTCTTTTTTTTTATTGTATATGAAGTAGAAATGCAGACACATTAATAAGAATAATTTCTTTTGTTTTTAAACCAAAAGAGTCTAAAAGAAAGTTGGGGTTTCTTCAGATGCACTAAAATCGACTTTCCTCCAATAACTGCTAACCATAAAAGGCAGAATTCAAAGGACTTCCACTTCTTATTTCTGTTTAGTTTTGAGCATGTACAAGGCTGTGTAGGACCCCATTTCTCTGTATATAATATTCCAGTTCCAAATAACCCGTGTAGAAAGCGCACTGTGCTGCCCTCTCCTTCCTAGATCTGCAGCTGTGTCACTGCTTCCTGATTGCTGGGGGTGGGGTGGGTAGGGGGGT